CAGCATCATCTGCATATTGTACTTTGGAGTTAAGTGGTTGAGGAAGATCGTTAATATAAATATTAAAAAGTTTTGGGCTCAAAACACTACCTTGAGCGACGCCACAAAAACATCCTTTTTTTGGAGAAGGTATTACCTATTCTGACTTGGAAAGTTCTGTTACATAGAAAAGAGAAGATAATTTAATTAAATTTTAGGAATTTCGAGATCTATGAGTTTTAGAATTAGCCCCAGCATGCCACACTCGATCAAAAGCTTTCTCAAAATCGAGGGGTAGCATGCGGCAACTGCACTTTTTTTTCTGAAACGCAAGAGCTATTGTTTCCACAAGATTTAAGACTTGATGTGTGTCGAATGACCTTTTTCTAAATCCAAATTGTAAGTTATCAAGAATGTCATTATTTTCTAGGAAGTTTTTGTGAGTCTATGTTAAGGATTTTCTCATAAATTTTGCCCATAGGCAGGCAAAAAAAAGACTGATGGGTCGAAGCTACATTTCTTTGGGTTTTTTTCCCGGTTTGGGATAAAAATTTACGATAGAGTGCTTCCATGTTGGGGGAAGTATGACTGTCTACCAACCATTGATAATATTGCAGAGATTGATAATGCATCTATTTGGCAGGGCTTTAAGTGCTTTATGTTAAGTTGGTCGTAACTTCGCTTTTCTTGGCTTAAGGTTTTTAATAATGTTTTTCACCTCTTTAGGAGAAGTAAACTGTATGTGCCTTTGAGGCGTATGTGCTTTGAGGCTTCTTGAGCTTCGTTTTCAGTTTCGAGTTTTAGACGGAGGGGTTTATAGATATTTTCTTGTACTTCTGCCATGAGGTCGCAATGTCTTGGTCCGAATAATATTTAGTTCAGAGTGTTCAATTGCGTGCTGGGATAACTGTTATTATTTTGAGGGAGCGCGCGATTCTCCAAACATTTTCATGGTTCGGCTCCAAATTTTCAAGGGTGGTCCCATTTTGATTCCTGTGTTTCATTTCAGTCTTGATTTTTCGGTTTAGGTAATTGAGGTGCCGTTTTCATTTGGGTTCTAGACTGATGCCAGTTCTTAATGGCTGCGTTTCTGCTTGATAGTATTTTTTTATCTGGGTGGGGGAAGGTTTGAGATTTATTTCTTTTATGGAGTAAGTAGCAGTGGAAATAGCGTTTTTGAGGGTAGTAGTAAATTTATGGATTTCGTTCTCTATTGCCAAAAAGCTGTGGGGTAACTATTATTGCAGGTATAATTTGCAGAGAAGATTTGACTAGATTCCAGTTAGTCTTGGTAAGATTTTTTTTCAAAGGGTGATAGAATCCATAGAAGTCAAGGTGACTGGCAGGTGGTCAGAATTAAGGTCATAAGTGACTTTCCAGAGAAGGAGTTTTGATTGATATTTTTGAGTAAATAGAACATCAAGGATGTCTCCGGCGCCATCATGATGAATCTAGTGGGGGTGAAAGGTGCGACAATTTTAGATCTTGATTTAGTTAGTAGGTAGTTGTTCAAGAAAATTTCCATTTGTATTGTTGAATCTTGAATTCCCAAGCTTATTTTAGCGTTAAGATCACCCGCAATTAAAGTAGGAAAATTAGGCACTGAGATTATTTAGATATTATTGTTCTAAATAATCTCCAGTTGCTAATTTTTCCTACTTAATTGCGGGTGATCTTAACGCTAAAAATCAAGTTGGAATTCAGATTCACAATCCCGCTTTAATTTGTGGTACCATGATGGCCGCATTCGGGTCAGACGCTATGCCGGTGAACGCCACCTTCCGGAGTGCATTATCGAACGCCACAGTGGACGAACACCGGAGTTTTATGGTCTGGGGCGCCATAGCATATCATAGACGATCTCAATTGCTACGAATTGTGGGCAATCTGAACACGCAACCGGTATATTCCGTGAAGTTCTACAGCCCGAAGCTGTCTTTCCCTTCTTCAAAGCTTGCCAGGCGCTGTTTTCAACAGGACAATGCCCGCCCTCATACTGCTCGGATTGTTAAATCCTCTTTGCAGCGCAGCAGGTACAGCTTCTTCCTTGGCCTGCGGTTTCCCGGATTGTCGCCAATGAAATGTGTGGGATGTCATTGGTCGGCGTCTTGCTCGTGATCATCGTCCTGTTGCGTCTGCAGACGAACTTTGGGTACTCGTACAAACGATATGAATTCTCTTCCTCAGTCAGACATTCAAACTTTGTTTTGACTCCATGCCACGTCGTGTAGCAGCACTTATTGCGGCGCGTGGTTGGCCACACAAAATAACTGATTCTGATCTCTTGTTCTTGTTGTTTGCTTTGAACATTAATCATTTATTTGTACCACTACCACTCAACTGTGTATTAAATTGCATTCAATTATGACGATTCCTTCTTGGTGTTGCAATTTTCACAAACGTGAGTATATGATAGGTAATCTTTGCATTCTTTTAAACGTAAATATAAGGCCTACAAGAAGAAGGTTATTAATGGCGGATTTTACGAGTTCTTTATTAAAATGAACTAAATGAATGCATCTTAAAATGAATGCATAATTATACATAAAAGTAGAACATAGAAGAAAAAATTACATATTAGACAAAAAATTTAAAAAATGTATTAGAAGAGCATATTTCTGTAAATCTATAACATCTCTTTTAATATTTTAATATTAGTATGCTATCATTGTTGCTTTTATTTTGATATCTATCTTTCGAAATATTTCTTCTCTGCATTTGCTTCCAATTATATAGTATTACTAATTACATGTTATATATTTCCATGTATTTGCTTCCAGTTTTATATGTATGCATATACATCATGTGGAAAAGCTGTGCCTTTTTTTAATAGTGAATTTTATGAACAGCATGCAAGTTTGAATAATATAATAAACATAATTTTTTCATGATTTTTTTTGGCATCTTTCCAGCAGCTGGAAAATTCCCTCTCAAAGATGGCTTTAACTTATTTGGAAAGAAATTATCAAGCTGTCGTTTGATAGGCTCCAAATAAATGAACTTCATTCGAGGATTTTGAAGTGTCCTAAGCTGAAAATCTGATGAGACAGGGTTAGTTGTGTGTAAAGGAGTGAAAAAAGTATGCCTATCCTACTCAGGGAGTATGTGTTGAACATTTATTGAAATGTTGGTCCAACATTGCGATGGAGAAACAAAACACCTTCAGTTCTGATAGCTTAGCACTGATTTCTTCTTTTGAAAATGCCATCTGTAAATAAGTATTTTTCTGAATAGATGGTCTTGCTATGTGGTAAAAATTTTTAATAAATTACTACAAATATATTACAAGTCTAGTTCTTCTAAGGCCAGCACTAGACACTTGATGCAATCTCTATGAATCATACATTCTAAAAATTTTGCTGTACATAAATCTAGCTGTCCAGTACCTGTCCTAAATTTAAAAAAGCTTATTGTTCCAAAATTTTGCTGTTTGGTGTTTCTGTAAATTCTAAAAATTCTTCCACCTGCTGTGGCCACACCAGTTGCACCAGCTCTGGCACTGGCTATGAGTCCTACCATGCACAAAGCATCACTTTCTTAGGATGATATCCATTTTTGGATGTAACTGAAGTTTGTTTGATATACTGTGATCTTCCTTTCATGACATTACTCCATAGTATGTCATGAGACTGTACTTGTATGTGTATCCAATATTTTTGTGCTAAAGCCTTTCAAACCACCTTTGAAATGTGCCATCAAAAATAGCACATTATACAGTCAAAAGTCGTTAATCCGGACTCGTCGGGACTTTGGCGATTCCGGATTATAGATCATCAGTTTTAAATCTGAAGATGGGCAGGAAATTCCAAAATAAAAATATGAAACCGTAATTTATGAACAAAAAACAATAATGATTAAAGGGTATCAAAATTTACAAAAAAAAAAAAAAAGCTTATATTACTTGTTTACTTTATCAAACATTCCTTCAATGTAAGTTGCTTCGTTTCATGTGATAATACTTTCTCTTAATTCTATTAAACAGACATATTTTTTGTTTAGTTACAGTTCCGCTGTTCAAGTCCTATACTTGCTGTGTGAGATACCGACTAAAATGTTTTCGTTTCAAAACCTTGGTCACTTTTTCACTATCAGAAGCGAATTATAAGAGGAGGACGTGTTTTAAATCATTCAAAGAATGAGTACATCGAGATGAAATATACTTAGTAAGGAATTATAAGCCAAAATATATAAACCCCGAAAGGTCTTACGCGCACTCGTAAACGCCTGTGCGCATGCGTGAACGCGACGCATGCACAGAAAGTTTGTAGCTTTGAGGTCCGAATTAACGACTTTTGACTGTATATATATTGTACAAATTTTACATATTATTTGACTATAATTTTTTCCTTTTTTGAAATAAAAGAACATGATGTGATGAAAGTAAACTTTTTTATTATCCATTTTTAGTACTGCATTGGAACCAAAATAATATTTCAGAGCATACAAGAATAACACAATATGAGCAGAAATATTCTGCTTTACTCTTAAGATTGAAACAAACTTTTAAGATTAAAACTTAAGCTTTCTCTTTTTAATTATCAAGTTGTTGTATGATATGGTACAAAAACATTAGAGTGGAATGCACTTTGGTTTTTTTTAATTTGTATAATTTTTGGATGACCTAATAGTTTTGTTTAAAAGTTTAGATTAATTGTGTAGTATTGTGCACAAAATGCTATTTTTTATGATTGAAATGTACCCAGATATTTAAGGCCTACTTCCAGTTTTCAGTTTCTTTTTTTTTTTTTTCTGTGTGTGTGGGTTGTGTGTGTTTGTATTTACATTTGCATATTTTTCTTTACTTCAAAAATATAACAACTTTGTGCTGAATCTGTATTTCTATACTGCCTGTTACTGAAAATTTAATTTAGGAAGAAAGTATTAAAAGTCACAGAAACTTTAGAATAATCCTTTGTGTGTTAATCTTTTGATAAATTTCTGTTTTTATGTATTAAAATGTATTATAAATAATAAATACATTCTTGTAAGTAATGAAAATTGAAAAAGAAGTTTCATTTTAGGATGCTTATGATCTGTTGTTTAAATTTAATTTTCCTGTTGATCAGTATGAAGTAGAAAAAGTGAAGACTTTGCAAAAATCTTTCATGGATTTACAGCGCAAAGCTGTATGTATATATATTTATTGTTTCTTCAAATTCTAAGAGTTTGATAATTAAAAGATGAATTTTAAATGTTTTATACTGATATTTATATTATAAAATGAGTCTGTTAATGTCAAATAAATTAATTGTTTTAAAGGGGAAAGTTGTTGATAAACTTGCTGAAAATCAGTATGAATACCTAACTGAACTCAAAGAATTTATCAGAGTCTTTAAAACTGATGTGGAGGAATTTGATAACGATTACCAAAAAGTAATTATTTTTGTGTTCTACACTTAGTCTCATAGTTAGATATTTATATAATAAAGATTACTCTAGCTTTTCTCTTAAAAGAACTTTTCTTTTATTCATTTTTGTATAAAGTTAATGTTGTGGGTATTGCGTCTGAGTTTATATAGCACATTTTTACAAATTTTTTATGTGAGACTTTTTAGAATGAATACAAATATTTAATTAACATTATATTGATATAAAATCTATTTTTCCCCTTATTTAATAGTGGGAAATATTTAGGATTAAAATAAGATCGTTTACTTTAGAAGGGTTTGCTTAAAATTTAGCATTTTTGGTTCATGATTTTCAAAACGAATGACATTACCAGCAAAGATCTTCTGGTTGCAGCTTCGAAGGTCACTTCGGTTAAAGAGATAAAAGAAATCTTTTCGTCGGGGTTAGAATATGGACACGGATCAGGATCAGGATCAGGAATCCCCCCTTCTGAGTTCAGCAGAGGTAACAACACCATGAGCTAGTAGGGTTTTTTGAGCAGTGAGAAAAGAAGGTTTTTTTTTTTTTTTTTTTTTTTTTCCCTGAGAAGAGCCAGGACTTTCCTGCTGGAGCTATGGGCATTTTGGCCCAGTATCCAACTCCCACATCATCAATGAGCCACAACTGTTAATGTTTTTATTTTATTAAAATTCATGTTATTGTTAGAACTTGAGTTAAAAATTCATTTCAACCCCCTATTTATGACAGGGGTTTGTGTAGCGGTTTTGGCCTCTACATTACACTAGTTATAAATCTTGATGCTCCACAAAACATTTAATATGTCTTTTGAGTTGTAACTATAGTTTCTTAAGCAGCTGTTCAAAACTAATAAATATATTCCATAATTTTACATTTATTTATTAAGTGTTATATCCAATTTGTATAGTTTATAGTACAATTATTTGCTGTAATTTATGAAATATCTAATAGATAATTTTTATGAACATTTGTATCATAAATGTAATTGCAAAGGATGTGTTTAACAGCATATATTCCCTAGCTTGTTAAAGAATAATTGTTTCCACACCATTTTCTTATTTCATATTGTGTCTCTGTGTATACAGCTGTATAAGTCTATAAAGTCGTATAAGTGTATATATGTTAAATGTCACTATATTTAGGAAGGACCAATGATAGCAGGAATAACACCTGAAGAAGCTAGTAAAAGAGTTGATGCCTTTTCTGTAAGTTGATTTATATATTACAAAGTTTTTTTTTTTTTTTAGAAAAAGGCTTAATTTGGTTATAAAGTGTAAAATTTAATGCTTGAACTTTTAAAGAATTTATTTTATATATTAACTTTATTTTTCTGATGTTAATCTGTATATCATTCAAACGTCATGCAATATCAAAAGTGGTTGGTTAGTAACTCAGTGTTATTACATAGTTTAATGAAATTCATTTTCACTACATAGAAATATGAACATTTTTTGCCCCTATTCTCTCGGCACATGTGGAAAAAGGGCCATGCTTCAAGTTCTGATTTCAGAGAGGGAGAACACTATAGGAGACAATTATGACATTCTTTCATCCTACTTCCCTTCACCAAACCACTCGAGAAGATTATTGGCTTGCCAATATTTTAAGTGCCTTCATGCTGCACAGACACTAGTAGACATCCATGCCTTCTCCAGGATTTGAACCTCTGACCAATGATATGATAGCCAGTGTTGCTAACCACTATCCCAACCAGGGCAGCAGCAGGACAGACATGGACACAAGTCTATGAAAACTTAAAAGTAGCCAAATACATCATTTCAATCTAGAAGCAGTTTAGAGGTAAGGTACTTGTAATGTATGTATACAACTAGTTTAAAGTTGAAATTGTGCTACAACAGATTCTCACGACTGTTATTTGGCAATAATTGCTAAAAGAAATGGTCAAAGCAATGTCGTCCCAAATTGCAAAGGAGTTAAGTGCAATTTCAGGAATTCAACTACTCAGATATATACTTAAGTATGGCTGCATGAACTGTGTGCAAGGAAATCTAGGATTTTTGTCCTACTAATATAGGTTATGAAATGCATCCAGTTGCAGTGGTACAGTGATCATTGTGATTGGAGAATGATAGACTGGAGCCCAGTTGTCTTTACTGACGAGTTTCTTCATTGTTTGAGTTATTCCAAGTATGTTACAATTTGGATGGAGCAAAATCAATGTGACATCATGTAATAAGGCTGAAAACATGCATGAAAGGCATTGGTACAATGGTGGTTTAATCATGTTGTGAGCTTATATTCTCTTGAATGACTGCATTGACCTTCACATTTTTACCAGTTCAATTATAGATGCTGAAATATGCAGAGATAAGGTTCTAGATCCTTCTATAAGGTATCAATGAGAGAATGTAAACAGTCAATGAAAGTGCAAGGTTGAATGCATTTATTTTTCCAAATTTTCATTTCATAATTTAAGTTTTTCGATAAACCCATTTTGGAACTTTTTCTTTCAGTTAAAAATAACTTTTTTTTCTGTATTCTGTAAGAATGTTTATAATATGTCTTTGCATTTATTTATTTATTTTTATATTTCCCAAAGGATCGATTTGATAAATTATACAACAGATATGAAAGCTACAAAGATGGTGAAGAACTGTTTGCTCTTCCAGTGTCTGAGTACCCAACTCTTGCACAAACAAAGAGAGATATGGTTCTATTGCAAAAGTTATTTGCATTATTTAACATAGTTATGAGAAAAATAAAAGGTTACTTTGTTTATAAATGGGAAGATGTTGATGTGCAAGTAATGACAGATGAACTAACAGATTATCAAACCAAGTTAGTAATGATATCTTTGTAAAGTTATATTGGTAATATTTCTTTAGAAATTTCTGAATTTAATTTAGATGAAAGCAAAGTATGAATTCAGAGAAAATAATTTAAAATGTTTTGAGTTATTAAAAGGCAAACCAATGGACATAAACCATTGGGGGGGAACATGAAAATAAGACATTATATTGTGTTCTATAATAACATCTCAAAGTACATTTGAATTTTTATTTCCTTACTTATTTTTAAATTCATAATATGCATTTTAGTTTTTCTTCACTTTCTCAAAAGAGTTTTTAGCTTATTCAAGCCTTTTTTATACTTATAAATAATGGGTACTTTTAATGTATTACTTATTTTTCCTTTTCAATGTTATCAGATGCATGAGACTCCCTAAAGGATGTAAAGAGTGGAGTTATTTTAATGATTTAAAGCAAAGAATTGAAGACTTCAAGGAAACATGTCCACTTTTAACAAGATTGAGAAATGATGCTATGACAATGAACCATTGGCATAGAATTGAAAAAATCTGCAGTCACAAATTTGATGAAGATCAGTCAAAATGGACTCTTGGTACTGTAATGGAGGCTCCATTACTAGAATTCAAAGATGATGTAGAGGTAAATAGTAAATTAAGCAGTTATGTATTTAAATATATGGAATCAATGTAAAAATATGTGAGAATTTAAATTTATGATTCATAATATTTAGGTTCTGCATTCAAAGTGCATCATTATTTGCTTCAAAATAATACTTTTTAAGTTTTTTTTTTTTATAATCAAACTCTTGAATGCATTGAAACATTTAGAATTTTACATAAATGAGAATAGGCTATGTGTGTGCTAAGAATAAACTTATATAATATTAGCCAAGTTATGTGTATTTGAAATCTAAATGGAGCAAGCAGTTCTAATGTTTTATTTGTCCCTCTTAAATAAAAATTTCAGTAATGGTATGGTATGCTAAAGGTATGCACGTCTAAAGTTAATAGTTAATAGTAGTCTAAAGTTAATAATGCACATATATGCATAAAATACTATTAACTTTAGATGTGCATAAACATATATGCATAAAACACTGTTAACTTTAGATGTGTATAAACATATATGCATAAAATACTATTAACTTTAGACGTGCATACCTTTTCTTGAAATCAGTCTATTCTATGTTGAAATCATTCATGTTTGCTATTTGACACAATATATTATAATCTATGTAAATGATGTTAATTCATTTGTAAATTAATGTATTCATCAAATACAATTTGATGTATAAACATAAAAATGGGAATCTGCAATAAAATCTATCAACTAAGCTTCCAAAGCAATGCTTATGTTGTACTTTGATACTGCATATTGAGCATTTCCTTCAAACAATTCTTATTTGTCAGGGGCTGAGCTTTTTCCCATATGCAAGGTGTCCCATAAATGTTGTGACAAACATCTGGGGGAGGTAGGCCACATCATAGGAACCCATGCCCAGAAATGTCACTGTATGCCGCCAGGGGTTGTTGTACAAAAGAGTGCTAGTAGAAAGTGAGGATTGCTTCATTCGTGCGGTATGCACCATACGAAGAGCATGGAATGCTATACGAAACGAGAGCTGGGGAACATGTGGTTCCAATTTTATGGGGCGCCTGGCTCATTTTGGACTGGATGTTCATAGCCATTTGAACAGATCATTCTCGCATCAATGGATTGAGCGTGGTGGACCGGTTCCCTGGCCCCCATGCTCACCGGATTTGTTGAACCTTGATTTCTTTTTCTAGAGAGCCATTAAAAGTGTCTTGTATCATGATCCTGTTGTGCCTGAAATGGATCTCGTAGCAAGACTCACCTGCACAGCTGCGACAGTCAAAAAAACTGCTGGTGTGTTTGAACATGTCCAGCAATCAATGGTCTGCCGGTGTTAGGCATGTTTAGCGTCTGATGGTGCAAACTTCGAACATCTGCTGCAACATTCAAGCTGTTGTACATCATCTGTATCCATATCCAATAAATGTTTCAAATTAATCACTCTCTTTCTTCCTTTCCCATCTTCTACCTCTGCTACCACTTACCCCTGACACTTCTGAGCATGGGTTCCTATACAATTCTTTATTCTTATGTGATGTGCTCTCTCTTATGTGTGCTAAGTTTTTACAGGACACCCTGTATATGTGCGTTATGAGTTCTTCAGTTTTTCAATACATGCATTAATTCATAATTACACATATATATTATAATTCATAATTACACACACTCACACACACCCATATATATATATATATATATATATATATATATATATATATATATATACATGTTCTATAAAAGGGATCTCATTTTTATGTGTTACATAAATGAGAGAATTTAAAGATTATTACATAAAAATTGTTAGAAAAGATAAATAGCCTTTTCCGCCATTATTATTATATATCTCGTTTTATTTTTTAGCTGTATTTGTTTTATCCCACCCTTGCTTTATTTAAAATTTCTGAATATTGTAAGAGGTTTTGTTTGTAGGATGTATGTATTGCTGCAGAAAAAGAAAGAGAGATTGAAGCTAAACTTAATCAAATTATTGATGAATGGGCACTGGAGAATTTGTATTTTACCAGTTTCAAAAACCGTGGAGAACTGCTACTTAAAGGTGCTGAAGCTTCTGAAACTATTGTAAAACTTGAAGATGGTTTAATGACTCTTGGTTCATTGCTTAGCAACAGGTATTGTAAATTCACTTTAGAAGTGAATCTTTTTATTGTGTTACATTATAACATAAAAATCAGTTTAATCATTCTTATCTATTCTTAGTTATGGTACTTAAATTATGCATTATGCTTTATAAATTGCATAAAAAGGGACCAAGAGGGCATGGAAGCTTAAGATTCTTAACATTTGAGAGTACTCTTGATATTGAAAAACTTGATTTAAAAAACTATATAAATGTTGAATTAGAATTCTGAAAATGTTAAAAGACCTGTTAAATGCCAGTGAATAATATTGTTTTATGTTTCACTATTATCTTTAAATTATAATTTTCCTGTATTTGGTATGCCGAAAAAAATTTTGCAAAATGCAAATAATATTACATTTTGGCTACGTACCAATACGGAAACGTGCTAGTGTTTCCTTGAACACAAATTCTATACAATTCTGTGAATATCTCCATTTTGAAAATTTTTTGTGTTCAATATATTTTTCAATAATCTGAATAGAAATGATTATCCTTTAATCTCTTAACATCGGAAACCTTTTTCTAAACTGATATTAATTTAACATCTGTGAACAACTTGTAAGGCTTTTGTGATAGAGTTGATTATGCTAGAATTATACAATTTACTGTGATAATAATTATAACTTTCGTGTGTTTAAAATGATGTAAAGAAAGTAAGAAATTAAGTTTCGATTAATCTAGAGCAATTTTATAAAACTGGGTTTAACCATGATAAATGCTAAAGAATGTTAAACTAATTTTAATTGATCATAGAAATCTTGAATTTTGTTAAGTTATGCTTTTATCCTGACTTTTATATTTTAAACTGTAATTATTTAGGTATTCAGCTGCTATGAAAGATATTATTTTGAAGTGGCTACAATATTTGACTACTGCAACAGAAGTCATTGAAAGCTGGATTTTAGTTCAGAACCTTTGGGTATATTTAGAAGCTGTATTTGTTGGTGGTGATATATCAAAGCAATTGCCTAAGGTAAATTATATAATATTTGCTACATTTTAATAAAAATACAAAAGAATCTAAATTATGACCATATAAGATCTGTCTTCAAATACTTTTAATATATGTTTACCTTACCAGATGAAAAGTAAAGGCTGCTGAACACTGGATAGTATGATCTAAGTTCTAACATAAGCAATTGGGCAGGCTGCATAATCGGTTTTCATAATTTTTATGGTTTTTTCCAGGTGTAACATAAATGAAAGCGAGTTCCCTTTTGAAATTCCTCTATGATGGTATCGCTTTTCTTAGATAGCCTTTGTGTGCTTCTATATGATCAAATAATCTAACCTCACCTAATGATACCTATATTTATCATTTACACCTATATTTATGTTTCATAGCATTTATTTATAGTTATTATAAGCTATGAAATTATGTTATTAGCTATTTATAATTATTAGTTATTAATAGCTATGAGCTATGAAAAATTTAATAAAGTGCTCACACTTTATCTTATTGAAACAAAAATTCAAAGTTTAATGAAATGTTTTACTTTTTACAAAAACATGAAATACAGATAATTGTGCATAAGAAAAAAGAATTTTTTAATTAAAAAAATCACAAAGTAACAAAGAAATTCCATAAAGTTTAACTGTGCTACACAGTTTATGTTAAAAGCTGCTTAATATTATTTTCTTCTTTCACATCAATTGATATTCTAGGAGGTTCCAAGGCTGGGTGATTTTTCAAAAATATTTTTACATAAGGTTTGAGGTTAAAGTCTCTGTTAAAGGACTTCTATTTAAAGAGAACTGCCAGTAAATTTGCAATATGTTTTTTAACTGAAAAAGTTCTTGTTATGGAAATAAATTTTACTGAGTTGAAAGTTTCCTCAGCTTCAGTGTTAGCGGTAGAAATTGCCTCCAAAATGATTTCAGCTATTTTTACACTATTATGAATTTCATTGCATAGTTTTTCAGTTAAAGCCTTCTCAAAGAAAGCATAAAAATGATTTATTAGAGCTTTCTGCATAATTAAACTTCATATTATGCATAGAGTTTAAACAGGGTATATAAATTATGGAACAGATGCAATACTTTTCTGTTGAAAATTTCTTGTATATGGCATCATATTTTCTGGAAAGCTAAGACTGTCATCATCTGGATTGATAGCTCTTTTTAATATGTATGAGGGTATTGTTTACTTTTTCTGCATTAGTAAGGAAAATGTAAGTGCTGTTTTTAACTTAAGTCTAATAATAATTTTGAAATAAGCATTGATATGTACGAATTTCAAAATGAATTAATCTACATCGAAGCATTGTTAATAACTGAAGAGGCTTTACGCTACTACCAGGGCCGTTTCTAGCAGGGGTGCAACACGTAAAAGCACGTAGGTGGCAAAAATCAGGGGCGGCCGGGCTCTCATGGTACCATGGCTAAATATTTTTAATTTAGTGTAAGTACTTGTCATATGTAAGTACTTAGTGAATATGAAAAAATATATAATTGAGCATTTTTTTTAAATTTGGGGGCGGCAATCTTATTAAAGTATGCGAGCAGCCAATGGCCTAGGAATGGCCCTAATTACTACTTGGATAAGGATTTTCAGGCTTCTTCATGTGTTTTTTAAAAATAAGTTGACAAAACATATGTCGTTTATATTATTTATGAATATTCATCTGATTCATTTCTCCTAACACTCAATATATTTCCTTAAATACTTAGGTAAGTTGAATTTTTGAGAAATGAGCTCTAACATTGAGAAGTTGTTGGTCAAAAATGTTCTAAAAACTGAAAGTCTTTAAAATTCCTTTGTTCAAACTCCTTTTTTAAGAGCTTGTGTAAAATTGTGGGCACTAACATATATGATAAAAAAATTAAGATCTCTGCATATGAATACAATCTTGCATGTAATACTAGCAGTATTTGCTTATTCTTTCCCCTTTTTTTAATATATTTTTCTCTTAGAAACATAACTGAATTTATTACTTTTAAAATTAAGATTTGCATTTTATTGACATGCTTCTTCTTAACTCATTTATATGTTTTTAATATAAAACTATGTTATTATAGTTTTTAAATTATATATTATTATCAATTATTATAGTTTATTAAATATTAAAAATTCAGTTTTTGATATTTAATAGTAGTTTTTTAAAATTTGAAATCCTTCTTCTCAAAAATTATGATAAAACATGTCATATTATTGGGCTGGTCATTCACAGCTTTTTTCCATTTATCATCTTTTATTCAGATAATATTATTAGGTATTTTTAGATTTCACATATTCTTTCACTACTAATTAATATTATTAAAATATTGTTAATAATTTGTCTTTGATAATTGTGTATGATGGTATGAAATTATGGGGTAAGCTTGAATTAAATTTCTTGCTTATAGTTGAAATTTCTTGCTATTATAAACATTTTTTCTTTATGACAAATTTGGTTATACTAAGCTTTTCTTTCTACCTGTGTCCTATCAAAAGCCAAGTATTAAAGGTCATCGAACACTAGTAGTTTGATCCGGAATCAAATCTTGGCAAATGGGCTGGCTGCATGGAACTTTTCATTGTTTTCCCCATGTATAACGTAGATATGAGCCAGTTTCCTTTAAAATGCCTTAATGAAAACATCTATAGGCCTGAAATAAGCCTATAGCCTAAAAGTTGCTTTTCTGTAATCAATTAACCTAACCTTATTTTCTAGCTATTGAGATTCCTTTTCAACTGAAAAAATTTTTGAATATCATTTAAAATAACACTTTGACAAAAAATTTTAATTTTTACCCTTGATAAAATGAACTAATATACATTCCACCAAAAATTGTATTATTCATTTTATTTAACATATAAAGTTAGAAGAAGATTTTTCACAAAGTTAACATGCAAGTCTTGCATCTGTTAACTCTACTAAATTATGATTTTCTTAGGAAGCTGAGCGTTTTGCTGTTATAGATTTAACTTGGGTAAATTTAATGAAAAGAGCTCATGAAAAAGTCAATGTAATAAAATGTTGTTCCGAAGATGATACAATGAGCAAAGAGCTACCTCATTTACTGGAAGAACTGGAAGCTTGTCAGAAATCTTTAGTGGGGTGAATATTACATTTTTTAGTTTTTAGAAAATTTCATATATTTTTTTACTGCTTATCAAAATATTGAATTCATTCAAATTCTGTTTTAAAACATTTTGTTATTTTATCTTTATTTTAATATTAATTATATAAAACTAATTAATTACTCTTACCCTTATAGTTATCTGGAAAGCAAAAGAAGAATTTTCCCTCGATTTTTCTTCATTTCTGATCCAGCTCTACTGGAAATCCTGGGACAAGCTAGTGACTCTCACACAATTCAAGCTCACTTACTTGGAGTTTTTGAAAATGTTAATGAAGTAAGATTTGACCCAGATGAATACAACAAGATTACTGCAGTGATTTCCAAAGAAGGAGATGAAATTCCTGTAAGCAATTTCATTAACAATTTTTTTATTGTGAAAGCTTTAAAAAAGTAGTGTCTGTATATTTTAAAATTCATATCTTACATATAACTTAGGTTGTTGTTTTGCCAATTAGTTTAAACTTTAGATAAGATATGTAGTATAAAATCTGAGATTCAGAATCATTGGGATTTCAGTGTATCCATATTTGAGAACTTTACTGCTTTTAGGTCATCATTTCAAATCTAGTAAGATGACATATAAGTCTGGCAACATCAGGGCTTCACTGTGATTAAGGTCAGACAGAAAAATGCTAACCAAGTAGAAAGAAGGTTGAACAGGCCATCAAAATGTATGATATTATCATTCTGTCGGCCAAGCACATCTAATACTTTGGTGTTATTCTTGACCAAAAATTGACATGGAAGCCTTATACTGCACACATAACTTGTAATTTCCATTTTTCTAAACATACACTAACCTACTTAATTTTCTGGTACTTCGTTTTATCTATAGGCAATAAGTTACTTATTTATAAGACCATGTTAAGACCTATAATTACCTATGCCTAAGGATTTGAAAGTCAGATGCATATGAATAAATTTCAAATTTTTCAAAATGCTAGGCAGGTGCGAATAACCAGTAGTTTATTCATTATAATGAAATACATGTGAAACTTAAAACTACTCTGCCTCAATAGCATTTGTTTCTCTTCTTCTAACTTTATATGTCATGACGACTTTGCTTCAGAAATGATTAGGGCATAGACAAGAGCCTGAATAAGTGACTTTGTCTAATGCTAACACCTACAGCCATTCAACGGTCATAAAAGTGATCCTTCCCAATATTGATATAACATCAATCAATGTATTGTCATTGACCACGGTGCCACTTCCTTTGCTAGCAGGTGTTTGATGCAGGAATCTCAGTTAGTGGAGAGAAAAATCACATTTACAGCATTTTTGTAGCATTATGTTATCTGTTCTTAGACTTTGTAAGGAAAGGCAGGAATTATTTTATTTTATTTCTTTATTTATTTGGGGCAGGGAACTGTTGGTATGAATATTGGGTTTCTGGCTTTTGGATTTAATACTGCACTAGTTATAGTGTCTTGGATCCTCTTTAAGTTGTAGATTTATAATCTAGTAAATTTACATATGAAAAAATGAGTAGCAAACTAAACCAAAAATTTTATCTTGCAATTTTATCTGTTTTTTACCTAATGAGAACACCACTATTCCTTTTTCCTTGTTCAAAAAAATTTGTTTCCTCCTTATGCGCTCTGCTATTTATTGGATGGATGGTCTAACTTCTGATTAGTATGTTACATATATTTGTAATATGTCAAAATTCATATTAGTAATAAACTTTCATTCATTAGTTAATTGTACTTAAATGTTCATAGGTTGCACATCTAATTAAAGATGCATATTTAATAAAAAAATAACTTTGTTTGGCAAAATGGTATAATATTTTTTGTCATTTTTTATTTGAAAGGCCATAACATTGGAAGTACAGAAATATTATTGATTATGACCTAATATTTTTTTTTTTTTTTTGTAGTTTATCTGTATATACTTTGAGATTTTGCTAGTTTTTTAGAATTTTTCAACTGATAATATTAATTATGATTATTGGAAATGGTAGCCAATGTATATATATATTTAAATTTCCTTAAAATTTGTTTAGCTTATTTGATTATGGCAAAATACTTGAGGGCTCTCCGCCTAAGGGGAGGACTTTGTTAGGGAAACTGGTTCATATACACATAACACATGGCGTAAACCATGAAAACACCATTGTAGCCAGCCCGTTTGTTGGTATTAGAACCCTGGACCCAAACTAGCAGTATTTAGCATCTTTATTGTTCAGCCACTGATGGGTTCCCTTAAATTCGATAATAACCATTTTTCTCGTCAAGTTTATGGGCATTACCTTACCTATTATTATCATTTGCTTAAACATATTGCATTAAAATGAATAAAAACAGCATGAGATTCTTGTTTTTTTAACAGTATTTTAAAATGCTTTATTTAAAATTTTCATCTTCAGCTTGAGAGACCAGTAATGGCTGAAGGTAATGTGGAATTGTGGCTTGGAGATCTTCTAGTTGTGCAGCAAATTTCATTGAATGCTGTTATAAAGCAAGGTTATGTTAGCTTAAATTCTGAAGGCTTTGAACTCATATCATTTGTTGATCAGTACATTGCTCAGGTAATTTAATATACATACTTATATGCAATATTTGTCTATTTACTGGCTCTTTCTTTATATGTGCGGTTTGTGTGCATGTGAGTATATGCAAACCCATGCATATGTCTATCTCTCTTTATATATATATATAAACATGCACATATGTTTAGTGAATGTCCTTGAGCTATATATTTTGCTCAGTGCTATATTGCTCAGTGCTATATATTTTGAATAAAGGACTTATGACTATAAATTAGTAGTGATAATGATATAATAAGGTATTTGATGCACCATAAGGAAATCTGATCAATAATTCAAAATTTATGTTTTTAGAGAAGGTAGATTTATTTTGATAAAATGAATTTTTTAACAAACAATAAAAATATTAATAAAAGCTATTATGTATTAGATTTTTCTGAAAATATTTTGATGAATGTTTTATCAAAGTTTATGAAACTAAAAAATAAGTCTATATTTGATATTCAGACAAAACTGACTAGAAATAATAATGAATCTTACTTAAAAAATCTTACCTACTTGACTGGAAATAATAATAAATTACTTAAAATTAGACAGGCCTATGGGCTTAACTGCTGTATTTGCGTAGTCTATTAGTAAGGTATGAGTGATCTATATAAATGTTTCAAGAACAAAAGCACGTCTTCATTGCTAGGTGAAAAGTATTTAAAAGTTGTACTTTTTATGTACATTGTTCAGTTGATGGAAACACTTTCCTGCATATATATGGCTTGTAGAATTGTAATAAAAAACTATTATGATAAAGAAATAAGATGAAATTAAAATAGTGAACTATGAATAGAAAGTATGATATCTCAGCATATGTCAGTTATTCATGTCAGATCCTTAACTTATACCAAACTGGACATATACCAAGCAAACTTTTCCAGTAAGAAGTAAATGGAAATAACTAATAAATTTTTATAAAAAAATCTCATCATCATTATTATTATACTACAGTCAAAAGTCGTTAATCCGGACTCGTCCGGACTTCTGCGACTCCGGATTATCGATTTTTCCGGATTATAGATCATCAGTTTAAATCTGGTAAGATGGAATGCAGAAATTATAAAATTAAAAATATGAAACTGTAATTTATGAAAAAAAAAACAATTATGATCTAAAGAGTATCAAAATTTACACAAAAAAAAAAAAAAAAAGCTTAATATTTATTTGTTTACTTAATTAAACATTTCTTTCAATGTAAGTTGTTTAAGTTGCTTCATTTTTTATGTGATAATACATTCTCTTTAATTCTATAAACAGACGTAATTTCTTGTTCAGTTGCAAAGTTCCGCTGTTCAAGTCCTATAATTGCTGTGTCGAGAATACCGACTAATTTGTCAATCGAAATTTTTTCGTTTTCAATAACCTCTGTCACTTTCTTCGCTATCGGAAGCGAATTATAATGACGAGGAATTTGATTTCAATCATATCAAAGACGGAGTACATCGAGATAAAATACTACATTTAGTAAGGAATTATAAGCCAAATAAAATAAAAATATCTACCCTGAAGATAAGGATAGTGCTGATAGATCAACTTCCAATTCATTGCGCACTGCGGCGTTAAAGATAAACAAAGTTTAGATAAAAAAAACGTTTAAGTTTAGATAAACAAAGCATATGCCTTTATCCATTTTTTGCAGCAATTCCACTTTTTGTTTATTGGACTTAGAAACATACTTTCGCTTTATATATCCTTTACATATTAGTAATGTGGAGCAATTCATAATGACAGCGATGAAGCTGTACACTCCGACGTTAATTCCCCCCTCACCCCCGCTAACTGTGAATGGACTTGATCCAAAAAAAAAAGAAGGAGAAACATTCTCTCCTTGTATGACTCACTTCTCGCGTTATGCAATGGACAGTAAACAACGCTTGTAACCATCGCTATATTTTTTTTTTCTTCATATACCTAATAAATATGTTATTTTGTGTTTGCTAATATGATGATCGTGTTCCTTACATCGGCAGCTTGGATTACACTTTATTAAGGTAAGAACTTTGATTCTGTTTTATTCATCTGCTCGTCTCGATTTAGCGAAGTTGTAACAGTAAACCAAAATGAACCACGAATACCTTCAACAAAAGATTATGAGACCGAAAATATGTTTACTTCAACTAAACGCATAAAATATATCGAGATAAGCCATTAAGAATAAAAAAACAGAAAAGATACTTTACCATAAATTATCGCTGGATAATCCGAAAAAGGAAAAGCCAAGCCTGTCTTCAAAAGCGAAACAAAACTGCATATTTGCGTACTGTGCATTCGAAATACAGAAGCAGAAATGGCTACTAGCTGCGAAAATAAATATTCGATTATGAAACTAAACAATAACAACTATCAAGTATGGAAATACAAACTTGAAATGATCCTGAAAAAGGAAAATTTATGGGATTTAATAGCAGATGATACACCAAAAGAAATAAACGTCGAATAGAGAAAACAAGATGAACAAGCACAAGCTACCATTAGTTTACTCGTAGAAGACAACCAAATCGTACACATAAGAAATAAAACGACAGCCAAAGAAATATGGAATGAATTAAAGAAAATACACGAATGAAAGAATCTTTCCAGTAAACTTTACCTTCTGAGAAAGCTGTATATGTTAAAAGCACAAAACGAATACAAACTCGAAGAACACGTCAACAAAATGCTCGAAATCGTAGACAAACTGCGAGGAATCGGGAAAGAAATAAAGGACAGTCACATTGCAGCGCTCTTACTAAGCGGCTTACCAAAAAGCTACAAAAATCTCATTGCAGCTTTAGAAGCACGCCCAGAAGAAGAACTAATGCTGGAATACGTAAAAACGAAACTCATCGATGAATGCCTGAGAAGAAAAGAAGGCACGCGAGCAGAAGAAACGACTGCCTTTAAAACGAATTTTAGCACAAAATTCAAGCATTTCAATCAACGAAGATGCAATTATTGCAAAAGAATAGGACACTCAGAAAAAGAATGCAGATTTTTAAATAACCACAAAGAAAAAGATAAAAACGAAAGTAACTCATTTTTCAAGAATGAAAAGCAAACAAATAAAAGAAATTATGGAAATAAACAGAAAACGAAAATTGCTGTAAACGAGGATACACATGAAGATGAAAACGAAAATAAGAATCATGAAAAGACTGAGAATTACACATTCGAAGTCACCAGAGAAAGAAAATCTCAAAACTCAAACTGATCAGTTGACTCAGGTGCTACTTGTCATATGACCGATAACATAAACTTTTTCACCAAATTGGATAGAAGCAAAACTGAGCAGATAACAATTGCTAACGGCATGCAGATGAAGTCCGAAGGTATAGGAGAAGGATACTTATACTATACAGAAGACGAAGATAACGAAATAGAAGTGAGACTCGTAGATGTTCTGTACGTTCCTGACCTAGAAGGAGAATTGATATCTGTAAGGAAAATTACAAAGAAAGGATTCACAGTTGAATTTGAAGAAGATTATTGCAGGATAAAGAAGAAAAATAAAACCATAGGAATTGCTAAAGCAAAAGGAAATTTATACACCATAGTTAAATCGCAAAGAAGAAAAGCCAAAATTGCAACTGCAGAAAGAAGAGAAAATAGTATAGATCTTTGGCATAGAAGGCTAGGACATAGAAATTATGAAGCAATCAAGAGGCTAAAGAATGATGACTTGGCAACCAGAATAAGAATTGACGGAGAAGCCAAAAAGGAAAAAGAATGTGAATGCTGTATCAGAGGCAAAATGACTGAATTGCCGTATCCCAAGCTAAACAACTATAGAGCAAAATCAGTTCTAGACTTGATACATTCAGATATCTGTGGACCAATCGGTACAACATCACTAGGAGGAAAGAAATACTTCATAACATTCATCGACGATCATTCGAGATACACAACGCTCTACCTGCTAGCTACAAAAGATGAAGCTATCTCCAAGTTAAAACAATTTGTAACCATGGCGAAGAACAAATTTGGAAAGAAGCCAAAAGTCTTAAGAACAGACAATGGAGGAGAATATACAAGCAAAAAGATTGAAGACTATCTAAAGGAAGAGGGAATCGAACATCAAACCTCCGTAGCATATTCACCGCAACAGAACGGTAGAGCAGAAAGAAAAAATCGTTACTTGATGAAAATAACAAGATGCCTGCTACTCGATTCAGGACTCAAAAGAGAATTTTGGGGAGAAGCCGTAATGACAGCCACCTATCTACAAAACAGGCTACCATCAAGATCAGTTGAAAAAACACCATATGAACTATGGAATAATAAGAAGCCGAACCTAAGCCATATCAGAGTTTTCGACAGCACAGCTTATTATCGAGTTCCAAAGCAGAAAAGAAGCAAACTAGACGAAAGAGCAGAAAAAGGAATTCTTGTTGGATATAGTGACCGTACTAAAGGATATAGAATTTACATGCCACATGCAAACACGTCATGATCAGAAGAAGCATAATATTCGATAAAAACAAAAAAGAAGAAATGCCTTGTCAATTAAACGATCATCATGAGGAAATAGAATGGCCTTTTAAAGAAAATAAATCGACAGAACCACGTCCAAATGATATTACAGAGGAAGTAATTGACACAGAAGAAATTCCCCCATTACCGAGAAGATCCCACAGAACGACTAAAAGAATCCCATCAAACAGATTCTCATACATGGCTAAGAATGAAGAAATCAAAGTTCCTAAAGACTGGGAAGAACTTTAAACTTTTCCTACCAAAGAAAAGGAACTGTGATTAAAAGCTACGAAAGAAGAAATGGAAGCACTGAAGAGGAACAAAACATGGGAACTAGTCGATCTTCCAAAAGGAAAGAAAGCAATTGGAAACAAATGGACATTTAAAAAACAAAATCCGACGCTTCAGGAAATGTTATCAGATATAAAGCTCGTTTAGTAGCTAAAAGGATATTGCCAAAAATTTGGGCACGACTACGACGAAACATTCGCACCAGTCGTAAAGTATACCAACAATAAGGACTATTTTGGCAATAGCAGCTCAAAAGAAAATGCACGTAAATCACTTCGATGTAAAAACAGCTTTTCTATATGGAGATCTGAAAAAGAAGATATATATATGAAGCAACCAGAAGGTTACATCTCTGCTTCAGAAGCAAATAAAGTCTGTAAACTGAATAAAAGTATCTACGGACTAAAACAGGCAGCTAGAAACTGGAAATCACAAGATAGCTGAAATCCTGTGCAAACAAGGATACGTTCAAGGAAAAAGCTGATCCATGTTCCTTCACACTAATCGAGAACAAAACGCAAGAACTTACATAATCGTTTATGTTCGATGACATATTAGTCGCGAGCGACAAGTGTGAATCAATTCAAGAAGTTGAACGAATTCTCAAAGAATATTTCGACATTCGAAATCTTGGAGAAAGTATCTACATATCTAGGAATTGAAATCGAAAGAGAAAAAGACGGAAGCTTTAAACTTCATCAAGCTAACAAGATTAGGATAGTATGATCGAAAAATTCGACGGAGAGTCACCAAAGAAACTAAGCTATACACCCATGACTACGAATTTTACGAAGAACCAAAACAACCAGGATGACGTTTTTCCCGATAATCGGAAGTATAGGGAAGCAGTGGGAGCACTTTTATATTTAGCAACAGTATCAAGACCTGACATAGCAAATTCTGTTGGAATACTTAGCAGGAAAATAGAAAATCCATCAACATCGGACTGGAACGGTATCATTAAAATCATACGATATTTGAGAGCAACAATTAATTACAAATTACATCTAAAATCCAATGGTGCACCAGTCATCAAAGCTTACAGTGACGCTGATTGGGCAGGAGATACCTCTGACAGAAAATCCACACCCGGATATATATTTCAAATAGGAAACAATATGGTATCATGGGGAAGCAAGAAACAAAATTGTGTCGCCCAATCTTTGACAGAAGCCGAATACATCGCTCTAGCCTTAACATTGCAGGAGCTACAATGGATTAGACAACTGATGGGAGATTTAGGTTTTGCTCAACAGGAAGCTAACATCGTATTCGAGGACAATATATCATGCATAAATCTTTTCCCGAAAGAGAAAGGAAGCAGTTACAGTTACACCAAACACATCGATGTGAAAATATCACTACGTATATGATCTACAAAATCAAGGGATTGTTAAATTAATACACTGCAACAGTAAAATGATGTATGCGGACATGTTCACAAAATTTGCCCAGACAACAGCTGGAATTTCTATTGAAAGGAATCGGGCTTACTTCGGACAGAACAGCATCGAGTGGAGAGATTTTTCATTCATAACCGATTAATTCCCCCCCCCCCGCTAACTGTGATTGGACTTGATCCAAAAAAAAAAAAAATCTGAAATGTTTCAGATTTTAAATTACGTCCAAAGGGGCGTTTTTTAACATTTTGTATGTTACCTTTCTTTATTAAATATCATGTTCCTCGCACTTAAACCATAAGATCCAGTGCAACAGCAATATCGCAAAATAGTTTTAAAACGAGCATATCTTTAGAATTTCCGATACAGAGACTCACGCGCTGGAGATAAAAATGTTTTTTCTGCACAACGTTGCCATTGCTCGCTTTGAAATCCTTGAGTTTGTTAATCAAAAATTCGTCAAAGTTTTAAAAAATAGGAAATCGATCATAAAACAAATTTCAAATTTCAAATTTGGTCTTCCACATGCTCATATTCGTTGGAGGATTACGTTATTCAAAATTCGATGACTTTATGTACCGTTGTTTTATCACAATACGAGAAATATACATACATTTATGCAGATTTTTCATTATTTAATTTCTTCAAATATAATGCAGGACTCTAACATTTTGTGGCAACAGTTTGAAAAGTGAACCGACATTTATGAGTCCGACGCAAAATGCCAAAACGAAACTAATAGTCCTTCGGGATTCAAATCCCTTTGGACTAAAAAAAAAAAGGAGATTCTCTCCTTTATACTACTTCTCGTTATGCAATACAGTAACAACGCTGAATCACGCTATATTTTTTTTTTCTTCATATACCTAATAAATATGTTATTTTGTGTTTGCTAATATGATCGTGTTCCTTACATCAGCAGCTTGGATTACACTTTATTAGGTAAAACTTTATTCTGTTTTATCTGCTCGTCTCAATTTAGCGAAGTTGTAACAGTAAACAAAAATGAAACCACGAATACCTTCAACAAGTAAATATATATTAGAAATTCTATTTGACATAATCGAAAGTTCAAGCTTACTTTTATAAAATTGCTCTAACAGTCTGCAAAAAATAATAAGCCGAATCCAATTCGAAGATTATGGAACAACGCAATCTGCAACATTAACTGAATTAGATAATTTTGGCTTAGCTTATACCGTCCGTTATACATTAAACGTGCATTCGTAAACGTATTTTGCGCTCGTGCACACGCATATTCGCAGCCGTAAAGGTCTTACGTGCATGTGTTTAGCTTTGAGGTCCGGATTATAGATCATTCCGGATTTTGGGTGTCCGAATTAACGACTTTTGACTGAACTATATAATTTAAAAATACCAAGCAGTGGCTGAAATATATACTGTACAGGAAAGAAATACTGTAGCTATATGCTTTTCTGTTATCCAGATCAAAAACAATTTCTTAATATATTAAGCAAAAGTTTCCAGTAAGAAGTAAAGAAAATAACTAATCTACTCTTATAAAAAATCTAATAATTATTACTGTTTAATTTTAAAATACAAATGCAGTAGCAGAAATATAGTATATATTGTACAGGAAAGAAATAGTCTAGCTATATACTCAGTTATCCAGATCAAAAACAATTTCTCAACATGCTTCAATGTTCCTGATACAATTTCATCCCCTTCACAGTGTTAGCCTATGCAATAGCATCTTTGTTTCTCATGATCATAGATACCTTCTTTTTCGATATATGGTATGCAATTGGCCATTCCAGAATGTAATTTTCAGGGTATCTCGTTTACTGCTCTTTCATTCCTTCAAAACAAATATTATTATCAAGAATGCTGCCTATTTGCATAGAAAACAATTTCTTGGGCTTTGATCTTCACCTGTCGACTTTCAACATGTTGTGTATTTGTCCTTCTTTGTCTTCTTGGAAGCGTGACTTCCAAGAATGTTAAAGTGTGATTTTTATAAAAATTATGCTTTCTGCCACTGTTATCGATGAATCTAAAAATTCTTAAATATTAGGGATAAAAGACTTGGAAAAAGAGGAAGAGATATTTTAAAACTATTTATTGGTATTAAAACAATGTAAATCTGGGGAGAACCACATATTTGCATTGTCAGTTTTAAGTAGCCATTAAGAACAATGCATATCTTCAAATGTTTGCAATATTTCATAAATTTTATGGGAACTGTTTTAATCTTGCAATCTTACATGTTGAATTAATTTTTTTATAAAGTTTAATTTTTTATAAAGATGCCAAAAATATGCCAATTTTGAAATTCATCACCAAATATGCATTTCAATTCACATACTCATGTACTTCACTCGCACATATATTCAGGTTACCATTTAAATTCATTCCTGTCTATTACATTGAAAAAATTTTTTGAAATATTAATTCTTTTACTGTGTGTTGCTAAATTGGGCAACTTATCAAAATTTTGGGAATTTAAAAATAAATTAGCTTGAACAATTTTTGATTGTAATTTATGAATTTTGTAATGATTTTTTATTGTAACTATAATATTTCTAAAATGTTAAAATAGCAATACGATATTACAGCTATATTTTTTGAAGAATAATATTAAGATAATCATTTTTATTTTCTGTCTTTCATTTTTCAGAATGAAGGCATTTAAGGTTAAAATGAAATGAGAAGACACATTAAGATAATAAATGTTATAAAGCATTATTTCTGAACTATTTTTAGAAAAGCAAAGATACTACTGTAGATATTTATAAAATTTAATTTCATTTATCTGCTTTTGCATTTTTATAATAATGGCTTCTTCCCATGTTAATGTTTCAAAATATTTAAATATGAATTAATTTTCTCTGTCAAATTCATTTTATGCATTTTGTTCTGAATGTTTTTCTGAAAATTTCCTTTTAATTCTACTTTTAGGTTGCTCTTCTTGGAGTACAAATGTTATGGACAAGAGATGGAGAAGAAGCTCTTTCATATGCTCGAATTAGCAAAAAGATAATGAGCTATACAAATAAAAAATTTGGTGACATTCTAAGAAAACTCATTGCTCAAACAACTCTAGATTTATCTCGATTTGTAAGAATAAAATATGAAACTCTTATTACCATCCATGTTCACCAAAAAGATATCTTTGAGGATTTGGTAATATCTTTATTTTTGCCTTTATTTTAAATTTTTTTCAAAATAGCATTTTAAATCTTAAACCATTTATCTTCAGTGATCATCTGTTTCTAAGAGTTTTAAAAATATGAATGGATATGAAAAATAAATTAAAAAAAGAAAAATGATAAACTGAAATAAAAATGGAAAATGAAAATATATGAAAAATTAAACTTCAGAGTGTTAGCTTTGTTAAGTCAAGGCAAGTTTGGTAAGTTTTGTATTTGAAATATTTGTTCCATTATTATAAATTATTATTTTCAAAGTTAGTATAATAACTCTCCCCCCCCAAAAAAAAAGACCCTCTTCTTATTTTTTATTTGTTTATTTATTTATTTACTCTGCATGTGAGTAAAGATATTTTTAACAATGTGAAAAAAATTTAATTTTTAAGAATCATTTCTTGATAACTTATAAATACACTGTTTATCATTAAGCAAGAAAAATCGCAAAAAAAATTATGATTACTCAAACAATTACATGTAGAATTTAATGAAATTGACCCATTGTATACAACACATAATAAGGAATAAATAACATGAAAAGAAATTACCAAACAATTATGATGTTATAGAAATTAGAATATGTGTTAAATGAACTAATTGGATGTGTCAATTTGGTATAGGAAAATTATTACATGGCATATTATCTGCCCTAGAAGAAATACAGCACATAAGCAATGTGTGATGCTGTCAATTATGCAGTCTGTCACTTCTGTAGGAAATGAGAGCCGTTGTTCTTACAAAGCAGCTGAAAGCATGGCAAGGGTCTGGAAAGGAGGATTGAGTGCAGCTATACATCTTCCTAAAGCATCCTAAGTATGCTCAATAGGATTCAGGTCTGGTGATCAAGCTGAATGGGCTGAATAGATTCCATGTGCTGAATTGTTTGCTGCTGAAGACTAGAAGATTAGATCATGAGCCCTTTGCAGTCTAGCAATGCTGCCCTGTAGCAGGAAATCATCACCTATTGCCTTGGCATAAAAAACACATAAGCATCAAGGATGTCATTTCTATAGGCGTGAGCATTCACATTTCCATGAGGAAAGACATGGAGGTTTGTGTGTCCACCCAAAATGATTCCGCTCCAAACACAGACACTGCCTCCTCCTTATGCATATCTTTCACATATTTTTGATAGATGATAATGAGTTCGAGGTACTCTGCAAATCAAATAATGCTTACTAATGCTTTGAGGATAAACCTGGACTCATCCATAAAGAGAAGAGCCCTCCACTAATCAGCCATCCAGTGGACAAGTTGACATGCACTCCTCAAACATTCCCTTCTATGATGTGATGTGAACGGCACACAAATGGCTGGTGACCTTGCATACAGACCTCCTTCCTGAAGCCTTCTATGGTTGGCTGACTTTGACTTATTGTGGTTGCAACAAAGGAGAGTCTAAGTTGAGTCGAAGTTGCGGTTCCATTCCTTGTGCGCAAAACTACCAATATTGGTCATCAGTGCTCGTCATAGTAATTGTTTGCCTTGGCCGAGCCTCCTTGTTGCCAAATCTGTGGTTAAAAATTGCTGCCAAAGTCTGTGAACACAGAGAAACTCCGATTTAGCCATCTGGTCATGTCTGTCTGATTTTGTCCTGCCTGCAGTCTTCCAACAGCTCTCCATCACAGTTCTTTGGGAAAATGATGCCTGGTGGCTATTGTTACAAACTAGCTATCCCAGATTTCTTATCTCAGTATCACAGTGAAATTTGCAGGCTTACTCTCAAACATGCAATTTTATGCTACTAACAGATTATGTATTCTGATTGTGGTACTATTAATTTGCACATTGCAGTTTTACTCAGCAACTCTTATTTAACAACATATTCAAATTTTATACAGATTAGTGTGTTTTTGAATGATTTGTCATTATTTTTGTGATTTTTCCTTAATTTTTGGAATTTAGTATATACATATATATATACACGTACACACATGTACATCCATAGATCATATAAATATTCTTCTCTTTAAACCAGAAGCAGCCAAATCATTATACAACATTTCACAAAAGATGCTGTTTAACAGTTTGAAAGAATCTTTACTATTCAATGCAGTGCTCCTCTATATTTGGCACCCTGGCCAGATACCTTACTTCATCCCCCTTAAAGTTGCAACTGTATATGTGTATATATACATAGTATATATGTACATTATACACTTACACACATACATGGATAAAATTGTGCGTATATATACAGGATGTATCTGAAATGTTTAAATAAACTTAAGAGGATGATAGTACTCATCAAGACAAACAAAATATGCAAGGGAACATGGGGTTGCAAATGACGTTTAAAGGGTGAAAATCGAGAAAATGCATCTGGAGATGGACAATCTCAGACAAGAAACACTCCAGAAAATTATTTGTTGCACAGAATAGGTACAACACAGCTCATGATGTCCAGAAGAAACAAAAAATTTTCCAAGTGTCGACCGTGGACATTATCACACAGAGTACATCGACGGAGGAACAACTGGCGGTCACAGTATGCTCTCCTATGTCTTCTGGCATTTCTACTTGCATCTCATAAATGAGTAATTTCATCTGTCCCCAGAAGAAGAAATCCAAAGTGTTCAGGTCTGGAGAGCGTGAAGGCCAAGCAACAGGATTATGCATTTTGATTAGATTTGATTATGCAAATTTTTGATTTTATTGAGATTTGGTTATGCAAATCTGCATCCAATCCATCTTGCCGGATAAACTGCATGACGGTGGTTATGCAAATCCACAGAAAAATGAGGTGGAGCACCATCGTGCATGTACCAAATTTGTTGCTGCTTGCCAGCTTGTGTCGCAGAAAGCAAACCTGGCAGGATATTCTGCAGGAAACTCAGGTAAGTTGGACCATTGAGACAGTTGGGCAGCAAGTACGGGCTCACCAGGTTATCACCGAGAATGCCGCACCAGATGTTGACACTGATCCAATGTTGCGCATTTCACGAGACAATAGAACGAGGATTCTCTGTACACCAAATTGAGCATTGTGCATGTTAAACATGCCATCTCGGGTAAATGTAACCTCATCTGTAAATAGTACTTTGGAGGTAAATTGTGGATCATTTCTTATTGTATTCATTACCCAGTGTAGAAACTGCACCTTCTGCATGCGAAAAGGGTGCATCCGTTCATTGCATAGAAATCCCCACATTGACATGTGTGAAACATTCAATTCATCTGAAACCGCTCGCGTAGTGGTAGTTGGAAAGTCCGTAAACAACTGCAGCCACTCCTCCTTCCATTTCTGCAGTGCGCACATGGTGGTTTCGTCCTCTGTTACAGGATCTTGCATGGAAAGACCCAGTTTCTCGTAAGCGTCAATTAATTCTTGCGAAAGTGCTATGATAAGGACAATGCCTTGTCGGAAATCATTCTTGATATAACCTCTGTGATAAGTGGCCATTTCCTGCAGCTTCACCATAAATCATATGCATATCAGCTATTTCGTTATGGGAATAAGTAACCATTCCTACTGAAAGCACAAAATATTTTCACAATGATACTACCTATCGTCCTTGGCGGTTCATGTACTTACAACACATGCTTGCTACAAAGTTGTGTTTATTGGTCTGTTTCTAAGAATACGGAAAATTTGCATAAGAGGATTCCTGCTCACAGATTTGTTTGACTTTCTACCAGTTTTTGTTATCTCTTTTTCATTGGATATGCACAAAGTGAAAAGAAAACCAGCTTCGTGCTACTAGCCAATTCTGCGGAAAAGCAGTATGCGAGATTTTGATGTTTTTATTAGTTTTGCAATTTTCACTCTTTAAAAGTTATTTGCAACCCCATCTTCCATTGCATTTTTTGTTTGTCTTGATGAGTACTATCATCTCTTTAAGTTTGTTGAAGCTTTTACACCCTGTATATATGTATATATATCTGTGTGTATATACATATATATATATACACACACACATTGCATATATATATATACTTACATATATATATATGTGTGTGACTGGTTGAACTTCCTGTACTGCCATTAGAGGCTTAACAGGGCTTGGTGGAGCTATTTAATTAAAGATCTAAAACAAGGCCTGAATCAGGCCCATTAAGCAGTAGAACTACGACCATACTACCTGAAATAACGTTAAATAGAACTAGCATTAAATAAACAACTAAAATATTAACAAAGTCTAGGAGCTCGTGAAATTTACCAGCTACACCAACAAAAGCACATTATTACATACTTTGTGAAATATAACACATGTTACTTACATGCATAAAAATATGTTACTTACATCTACAAAGAAATAAATTAACAGAATATCATAAACATCCTAGTTTTCCTTAAAACAGATAGGGAAATTTTAAACACAATCAATATATAAATTCATTTCATTTACAGATACATATTTTATGAAATTTGAAAATTTCAATTTAGTCACTGTATTTTTACTTAGATCCTTTAGAGTATTAAATTTAGCAATAAATCTTAGAACAATATTTTTCATAGAAGAGCATCTAAACAACAGGTGCTCAATGTCGACATTACTCATGCCACATGAACAGACACAATTTTTTATCGAAAACATATTATAATAAAAGGGAAAGTGACCATGATTAGTTAAAGCTTGGTTTTGATACTTGTCACTAAGGCATCTTCTCGTACTTACAGTTGAGATTAAATTATATGTGAATCTTCCTTTAGAATCTGGGTCATTCCACTTTGCTTGCCATAGAGTCAAACCTTTTCTTTTCAACAAGGATTTCAAACTGCAAAGGATGATTTTACTTCAAAATCAATAATTTGAGTTCCAGTGGCAGCCTTTGCCAATCTATGCTCTCTTTGCCAATCTAACTGACTCTGCTAACCAATCTACCTGCTAACCAATAGTATCAATATGACTCTTCATCCAAAAAGTTTAATATCTCTGAAAGCGCTAAGAAAAATGAGCATGTCTTTTATCAGTTTAATTAGATCGTTATTTGGACAAACATCCGTAATTGAAACAATTGCACTTTCGCAGTCAC